CGGGGAACTCTGCAAAAAACGCATCTTCGCACGGGCAGCCCGTGCGTTGGCCATTTATTTTTTCTGATATTCTCCGTACTATCTCTTACAGTCAGTCATCGCTGGATTTTAAGTGTTGCAAATGATTATTTTGGTATTGATCGTAACCTCTGGAAGGCTCAGGAGAATCAAAACTTTTGTGGGTTTTGAATTTCTCAGAGGTATATCGCTTTAACGTCCTTAACTTCGGAAGAAATTTCTTTTGGAAAATTTCCTGGGATAGGCACACGTAGAAAAATGGCAAATGAATTAAAAATGAGGCAAGCTAGAGTAATTCCTTCTTTCCTTCAAATCCTGCAATAATCAGCCTTCTAACTCATCAGTGCCCTTGTTAGTTTCTCGCGCTTCTGAAAAAGAAAGTCGACCTGAAGCTCTCAGTTCTTTTTTTGTATGTCTACGCGTAGTTGGATGCAGGAAAACGCTGTGAAGAAAACTGAAGCAGCGACTGCACAAAAGCCGTATAGGCGCCGGCTTAAAAGATGCTGTATCTACCACGTACGTTACTCCAGATTGGTGTCGTTCCCTTCATAGAATTTGTGCATCCTCCTGCACTCGAAACTGCAACCTCTCGACTTTTGTTTTTTTTTTTAAGAAGCATGATGCTTCTTGTTCAGTTTTTCACCAGATTCCTGTATGATTTGTTTTTTTTTTCTTTTTGGGATCCAGATGGAGCTCCATGGCCCATGATCTCTTGGTTCTATAATTTTCACAAATGTATGCAGGCCGAATCACAAGCTCCGAGCGATCGATAGTGTGGAAATTGAAGCGGCAAGCTAGGAAAGCCGGCGGCGAATGTCATTCAAGTCCTCGTATTCGGAAAATGCAAAATGAGCCTGGCGCATTCAACTTTGAAAGTGGGATTTGAGAATCTTGGCAGCTGAAAAAATGCTGTTAGAGCAGAGAAGAAATATGATAAAAGATAAGCTCGAGACGTGAAATACCCTGTTCTTTGCATATACATCAGATCAGATTTGAAGGAGAATGTTATGAGCTACGCCCTTCGGCGAAAGCTAGCGGCAGCTCAAAAGAAGTTGGATCTGAAGAAATACAGAAAGGGACTATCGCTATAACACCCTAAAACAGCTCGTATAAAAATGAAAATGGGCGGGGGCTGAAAGATTTATGGTACCCACGAGAAAATAAGCCAGTGTTGCCTCTAGCGAGATGTTGTGCAGATACAGCCCAGGATCGAAGGATCTGAAATAGCTTGGCCCTGCGTGTCAGTAACACTACTAACATCGAATTCCAGCGCCGACTGCCCAAGCAGTACTGATATGGCATTAACTGGCAAGAATTTAAACTCGTTTTGCACAGTCTTCAAATCCTAAGCACATCTGATGAATTTCGTGCTAACTATTAACTTCCTTTTCTATTGTACTTCTAAAAACTTAGAGCCATTATCCTTCATGCTTTGTACACGCTATTTCTTCGTGGAAGCTGATCCGATAATGATAGTGTACTAGAGTTTAAGTTTGAAATTTCATGAGTTTTTAGTTGGCACTTGCGGAAAACCCTCCCGAACGAGATTTTCATTAGCAGTAGAAGTTATTGAGCGTTTTCGTACTCGCTTTTTTATCACTTTTCCTCAGAAGTGCTGTTCTGAAACGTTTTGGTGGTGCTCTCCCCTTGTTATTATATTTGCATGAAGACTTTTTACATTTCTCAAAAAATCTTGATCCGTTGTAGTATAGTATGTGTAAGCAGTTGCAGTGTTCCGATATAGCCAAAGGCATGCTCTCCAATTTGTACAGATCTGTTGTGTAGCAAGCCTTTTTTATCATCGCAGCGGATGAAAATGAACGAAATTTAGGTGGAATCATGGACACTGCCGTTGTGGATCATTCGTAGCGGAAATCAAGTGTTAAACTACACAGATAATTTGGCGAATCCGCACGATGAGCAGCATAAACATCTAGTGACTGCATTCGAGAAAGGTGTCGGCGAGAGTTATGCGAGTACACCCCTCAGGAATGGTTTCGTAGTCGCCGAAGTAAACGATATCAGTCGACCAAGCGATTTCATCAAGGTTGTTTTAAACTTTCAGAGAAAATAATGAGGAAAATAAATTTCGAATGATTTTTCCAAGGGATGAAGGGCATCAAAAGTCAAAAAGATTTTCGTGTTTTTTTGCTCTACGGGATGCAAGCACTCGGAAAGTAGCCCAAACGGTTGCAGATGCCAAGAGCAACCACCCTCTGACAAAGCCTGTTGTGAGTTAAACCCTGTTTTGCAATTGGACATGAATCGGGAGGGAATCGAAACACTCGTCTTCACGTTGCGACACGACGTGCCAGACCAATGCACTGCTAGTCTTTGTGCCGCAGACTCAGCTTGGAGCATTTCAACTGCGTTTGCTCTCTAAGACAGAATACACCTTTCTTTGTTTTCTTTCATAGCAACATACAGTTCTTTATGGCGGCAGCTTCTTTTGCTGGCTTTTCGCTTTTTTTTTTCAGCGACACGGCCGTTGATGGCTCCCTTTTTATGCGTTTTTGCCGTGCAGCGCTAGAGCGCTGCAACAGGCAGCAAAAACGCATATT